CCCGTAGAGAAATAATGTCCTTTGATGAGTTTTCTCTCTTTCCTTTTGAAGAATCTCTACCTTGCCATTAACACCACTGATAGGACAGTATGCTGAGCCTTTGGTATCAAAACCAAGGCTATCCCCACCCTGCTCCCCTTGATCCAGAGCACAGGAACCTCCAATTGAGTGACACACCATTTCCGGAGCACACTGCAGTTTTGATCTAACGTTCATCGTTCCCATTTTTCATTCTTCTGGCTTGTGCATACTTTCTTTCTCCCTTAACTAAATTCTCCTTCTTCTTTGAGACTCACCACAAGTAAACTCTACATAATCCAACCTTGGATTTTCAGGCAAAGTAGAAAAAAAAACATGTAGACATTATATTGAAAAGAGAACAATCTAATTACTACTATCTGCTATGCAATGAGAGGGGCTCTGGTGGTGCCTGTCAGTGGAGGTTTGTGTATTACTATGATGCTGAACCAGGTTTCAGTGGAGCTTCTAAATTAAGGTAGACTAGACGAAAGGCCTTACAATCTACTGAAAATGAGCCAACAAAAATCCTAGAGATTGCAACTCTATGAGCTGATCCTGTTGTACATGGGGTCGCCATGAGTTGGGGGCTGACCCTGCAGCAGTCAACAATAATACTTTATTCTGAAACAACAAAGTCATGTCTGTAGCTGGTCTGGCAAAGCCTTGTGGCTTAGAACACTAAAATACTTGCAATTTAACTCTGGCAAAGAGTTAAGTACAGAGATACATAACTTAATTAGGGTAACAAATTTCAGCTGAATTTGTTTACATTATCATTTCCAAGTGGCCAATGATGCAAGGGTTCAGATTTACAGAGGCTTAGGGGACAGACATTAATAATGTTACTATATTAAGAAATACAGACATTGGCCAAATTAGGAACTTTCTCATAATACTTCTGTATTCAATCCAATACTTAAAATTGCATTGTTTGTGTGTGGAAAATTTAGGTGTTTTTCCTCTCTGCTCTTTTCACTGACCTTGGTCTGGCTTCCTCTACCCTCAGGAACTGATATTAAAAAACTCTTACAGAACTTTTAAAAAGGGAGGCTGTTACCTGTTATCTTTCCTTCCTAATAGGCCATACAATTTGCTTATGCAGAACGGATACTATGTGCTTTTTTGCTATTGAGACTGAATAGCTTGGCCCTCCCTACCTGCCTTTTCTTTGGAGGTCAACCACCAAGGACAAAGTTGATGTCTGTCAGCCTAGCAACAGGCCTTGTCACTCAGTGTGGAAGCAATTATTCCAGAATTCACCCATTAATCAGGCTACACATGTTTACCTTCCCCCAGGGCTGCTGTAAATGCTCTGCCTTTATTCCATTCAGAAATCTTTATTTTGTGTACATTATTTAAGAATTTTTCCAACTATAAAGAGATATAAACAAAGCCCCAAGAATGAAGAGAGTATCCATTATTTGACATGATAGAGGATTTATAATCTCAATGATTAAAAAAATAATACAAGGGGGAAAAAGACGGTCCTGCATGTGCTTGGCACCTCCAGGCTTTCTCTCAAGTTCAATCAATCAGCATACATACGTTTATGGAGAATTCAACTAGGCTTAAAACCCACTGCCATCGAGTAGATTCTATAGGACAGAGTAGAACTGCCCCATATGTTTTCCAAGGCTCTAAGTCTTTATGGAAGCAGACTGCCTCATTCTTTGCCCCATGGAGTAGCTGGTGGGTTTGAACCTGCAGTGTAGTAAATTACCTGGTATGGCTTTTCTGTCCATAAGTCTTTGTAAACTCTGAGGTGGAATTTGCCACGAGCAACTGAGGAGCTCCTGATTGTTAAAATTATCCACCTGGGGTATTTCTCTTGAGAGTGGCACAAAGCAATGTTCTGGGAAGTTTGCTCTCTCTCAGTTGTTTAGAATTCTGATGTTATGATTGGTTAGTTTGGCCATTCTGCCAGGCTCTAAAGGAGCCCTCCTAGAGACACAAGGAGTCTCTCTCACTGCTGGCTGCGAAAGACGTGCTGCTGAGGGAAACGCCCTCCTGAGAGACGCGCTGCTGAGAAAGAGATGCTGAGAGACATGCATTGCTGAGAGAGAGACACTGAGAGACATGTACTGCTGGGAGAGAGACTGAGAGAGACTATTGGCTGAGAGAAGGCAGGCTGAAAGAAACTGAGCATTGTTCCTGAACTTGAATTGTAGCCTGGTGCTTCCCTAATATACCCCATAATCTGTGAGCTCTGTGTGGCCACTGTGGCGAATTATCAAACCCAGCAGAGAGGTGGTGGGTGCTGCAGGAGGAATGGTTGGTATCATGGTTAGTAAAAGGGCTGGAGGGAGGCAGCATGTTTGGCCTCACAGGAATAGGCCTTGGGCTACTAATAGTGATTCTGTCTTCCTCTTGTGGGGTGAGAGGAGGTCAGAAGATGCAGCCTCCTTGCCCCTTTGGCAGAACCTCTGACATTTTGGTTAGCAGCAGAATGCTTTAACCATCATGTCACCAGAGCTCCTTTAACAGGCTTAAAGCACTACAAAATTCCTCTCCTTCCAACTTCTTTTCTTTGTTGCTCATAACACCATTCCTGAACAATTTTTTTTTTTTTCCTGAGTGAATAGGCAATGTGGCACTTTTTGACTCTGCAAGACCTAGAGAAGAAATACTAAAGACAGCAGTACCACATTACAAGTTTGTTGCCTTCCAGGCTAAGTCAAACTAGAAAGTGAGGCAACCGCAGGTCGAAAAGGACCTTGCACATTGCTGTGCTAAAAACTTGGACTTCAACTTGTTGGCAGAGGAGCACCGCCAAAAAGCTCAAGGTGGAGGAGCTCTTCCAGGCAATGCATGCCAACTAGAGGAGGGGCAGAGGCAAAGTAAATCTTAGTCAGAAAGCACATGTCAGCTCATAAATGTATAATACACACTTTAATAACAACAATAGATTTAAACCAAGCATTAAGTAAAAGTGCTGTGTCTTAATAAACAATGTTTCCTGGAAACAATTCCAAATGAGGCTTTTATCCCATAGATATTGACAGAATATCAGATATTGCATTATTTTACTTTTTTCTTCTTTTCTTAAATAAAGATAGAAGGCGAAGGATTTAACATTCCAAAGTTTC